AAGATTCAAATTCAAAATGAAACAATCGACAAAAATGAATTCCAAAACTGATTAACTTAGTGAGTCCTGTGGGTCTGGATGATTACCACAGAGAATGATAGACCACGCACACACATGCGTGCTCACACACACACACACACACACACACACACACACACACACACATTAACTTACTAAGCCACAAAGAACTTCACACGTAGAAACGCACCTGGTTGCCCAGGCCAGGAGCCCCAAGGCTGGGCCTCACCCCCGACCCCACACCCAACAGGCCTTCAGCAAATCTACGGGTCTCCCCTGTTCAGTACTCCAAGGTGTGTCCTTCGCAGCTCCAGAGTGACCACCGCACTGGGCCAGACTCCACCTTCTCGTCCAAGAGCCACATGCCTGCCAGGGTGATCCCACCACTCCTTTCCTACGTAAAACACTCGGGGGCTCCACAAAGCCTTGGCCTAGAGGCCCAGCATACAGGAGCCTCCCCCCACCGCCCCTGGGCTCACCCTGCACGCTGTCCCTCACCTTGTGCTGCCTCTACCACCTGCCTACAGAAAGGGCCCTGGCACCTGACTGCCTGGGGCTGCGTTCCAGCTCTGCCACTTACTAGAGCTATATGACCCTGTACAAATTACTCAGCCTCAGTGTCCCAGTGCTTCCATGTAAACTGAGGATAATAACGGTATCTTCCTCATAAGGTTGCTGCACGTGTTAAACGAACTAGAAAACAGTACATGGCCCCATCACAGTTAATTCTCTGTCACTCCTTTAAACTCAACTGTCTGTGCCACCTGGCCAAGAAGGCCCTGCCTCCCTCCCTCAGGCACCTGCCCTGAAATCATTTCCAGAGGGGCACTTCTGGGTATAAGTGTCGTGTCCCTTTACCAATCCCAGCGCAAGGTCTGGCACACAGTAGGTCCTCAGAAGTGTTTACTGAAGTATACACACTGTCAATGCATATAAAACTAAGGTTGGAGGGGTAAGGCTGCCAGGAGTGACGTCACAGCAGGCTGTTAGGATGCCATGACGGCTGGGACTCAAGCTGCAGGTCGTGATAGTCAGAGCTACCTAGGCCTTGGACTTGCTGTGTCCCTAGAAGAGCCCCTCCTCCCAAAGATGAAGACATGCCTCCAGCTGTTGGCATTGCTCCCACCACTGGGAGCAAAGCAGCCAAGTGGTGATGCCACCACAGGCCTGGCCTGATTCTCAACCCCATGCCCCTCACCAAAAGTGGGCAACCTCTGAGTAAGCAAAGGGGAAGTGTCTTAGCAGACAGAGCCCCGGTGACTGATGGCCCTAGCTTTTCTGTCCTACAGTAGCACTATAGGATTCAAGCTCCAAGAAACCCATAGGAGAAAGCTTTACTATCAAACAGTTAATAAAAATCTGATGAGAAACAAATTTGTAACTACTGTTTAAAAACTGATTAAATAAAGTTATAAACATCTAAAGCCCAGCTCTGCCAAGTGACCTTTCCAATGTGCGTGTTACAAGCTATAAGAAATGAAAAAGTTAAAATCATCCACATTCTGAAAACAGACTTAAATTTTAGGAACTTGGCAAGCAAATAATACAAAGAGTTTTCCAAATTCAAAGACTCAATCATGGTCATTTTTGCAAGGTTCATAAATATATGCTGTATGTATGTAACAGCATATTGCTGTGTTTTCATATCTTGTATACCTTTTGTATTTTCTTTGAATCTTTCTGAGCATTCTCTCGGAGTGGTACTTTTCCAAATAACTTCCATCCCAAGTCATTTTGTTTGTCAAGTCTTGCATTTTGTTTTCTAGCAAGCAAGTTCCTATAGGAAGAAAATAAAAGGGTTAGGGAATTTCTGGGCATTTAAAGGACACTAGGACAGCCAAGTCACTCTAATAAAAACAAGCAAACTTTCTTTTGAGAGGGACAATAAGATGATCCATATACTTTAATTCTTCAGACTTGATTTCCATACACAGAATTATGCAGGAGAAAGTCCCTTAAACCAGAAATAAATTTTTTGTTACTCAACTGTTACATGTACAAATTCTGACTCAGAGTTAGGAAATGTGTTATATGATAACAAAGTGTATCAGAAAAAGTGAGTTTTGAAGTCAGACCAAACTGAATTGAAACCCTGGCTCAACCACTCCCTCACTAACTGTGCAACTCTGGACCAGCACATTAACCTTTCTGCGTCTTAGTGTTCTATGTTTAACAAACGGACACCTCCCCATGTTTCACAAGGTTGTTATATAAGACCAGTACTCTAACGCCTGAGTTATGGAGCTCTCATCCACACAAGATTGTTATACAAGTTAAAATTTCAGGTATGCCATCAGTGTTTAAGAATAACATCTGCTTTAGTACTTAACCTCTGGTTTAAAGTATCTATATGGTAAATCTGCATTATCTATAAAGAGTATTCATGGATCAAAAAAACAAAGCCACTCATGAGATGGTCACAAGGTCTTCTCTCCCAAGAACATGCAAACAAAGTTTCCAAATAACACAAATCCCAACTGTTAGTACACAACACATTATATTTAAAATGCACTGTATGGGTGCATTCATTAAAAACAAATGGTTCCCAGGGCTTACTAGGAAGTACAAGGTGAGCCTGCAGCATCTTGCTGAGCTAGAAATAAGGTGCTCAAAGAAACACGGGGACATATATAACAGAAGCAGAAGCACGTTTGACAGGACTCCCACTGGCTAAATATGGAACAATTTAATCACTGAAATAAATAATGAGAACAATGGATTACAACCATTGAGGGGAAAATATCCATGCACCCACACAGATACAAATGAATAAGCACCTAAATAAATGGCAGAGGAGGAAAGCTCTGAGAATGCTATCTAGTGAGTACGGAAAGACTAAAGGAGTTAGGAAACGATCAATGGATGCTTACACTAGGAGGTGAAGGCAGATGAGGAGCTGGACTTTCACATGGGTTAAGAGTATCTTTTACAAATGACTTATTAACTGCAAAGGCAAAATGGTTAAAACTTAACACTGGAGAGACCTGAGGGACACCACCTTAGCCAAGTGATCGAAGCTCAAGCGAACATCACCAATGTTAGCACAGACAGCAAGGGCCACCTGATCTGATCCAAGGAGAACACACACCAAGGTCGCGGCATTGGTGCCCAAGAAGGCATGATCTGAATCTCACCATGAGGAAAAGCAGGCACACCCAAACGGAGGGGCAGTCTGTAAAGTCCCGGACCCACACTCTTCAAAAAGTCAGTATCACGAAAGACAAAGACAGACTGGGGAACTGTTTCAGATTAAGAGAAATCAGAGACCTGATCATGAAATGCAACGCATGATCCTGTACTGCTATCCTGGACCATTACAAAAGGCTACAAAGACAACTGGGACAGTCAAGAAGTTTGACTATATGAATTGCCTGAGCCCGCGGGTTCGAGACCCGCCTGGGCAACTTGGCAAGACCTCATCTCTACAATAAATCAAAAAATTAGCCGGGCATGGTAGTGCGCGCCTGTAGTTCCAGCTACTTGGAAGGCTGAGGCGGAAGGATCGCCGGAGCCCAGCAGGTCGAGGCTGCGGTGCCCGGGAGCGGCCACTGCACTCCAGTCTGGGCGACAGAGTGGGACTCCAACTCAAAAAAAAAAAAAGAAGTTTGACTATAGACTGTGGATTTGAAATCAGCACTGGATTAATGCCAAATTTTCTGATTTTGTTAACTATACAATGGTTACGTAGAGAATGCCCTTGCTCTTAGGAAATATGCTGATATATTTGGGGTAAAGGGACATGATATCTCTAGTATACTCTTCTGTTGGTTCAATAAAAAATAAACATATATGAGAGAGAAATAAAACAAATGGAGCAAATTTAAACAGATAGTAAATATGGGTAAAGAATCTCTAGGAGTTCCCTTTTTGGGGCAATTTTTCAGCAAATTTGAAATTATATCAAAATAACAATACAAAGACTTTCAAAAAAGAAAACAAGTGGTTTTACTGTGTCCTTCCAGTAGAAAGGGAAAGGCACCAGGATGGAGGACACATGTCCTTAGCCCCAAAGGGAGGGGAGTCACAGAGGGTCTCAAGAATGGACCAGAGAATAGCATAGAAGCCACTGGGTGTGGGGGATATTCGAAAAGGAGAAGTGCGGGTGAGTGGCTCCCAGACCTGTGGTTTGGAAGTCTGAGCACATACGGTGGTGCCAGTCTCCAAGACGGGCCAGCAGGAGGATGACTAAGAGGAACAGAAACCTTGGTTTCGCGGGCCCCAGCTACTACCACAGCAGTCTGTACAAAGGTAGTGCCGACAAAACTGAATGTCAAAAATCAAAGTTGCGTGACTTTTTTTTAACATCAGAGCTTAATTTCGCTCACATTATAGGCTGTGACTTTTGAAAGTTCATAAAAAGCATCTTGGATATATTATTTTGGGGGGCTAAGAGGTTGAAGTATGACCCCAAACAAGTCACGGCAAGTATAATGGTGCTAAGCTGACAGGCATCCCTTCTTTCAGGCGGGAGGGTCATCGGAGGCCTAGTGTGTAGCCAGCGGCCGGCCCCACCATGGAGACTAAGGGGAGCCAAGGACCTGCATCTGCTCAGCGCATTCCAAACCCCACTGCCAGGCCAGTGCAGTGAGAGGACACAGCCAGGCCGGAGCGTGCCCATTCACTCTGTCCCCTCAATACCTGTGCTGTCTTCTGACAGGGAGCATCCCTTGGACACCCTACAGGAAACCCACACACTGTGCCACTCCTTCGAGGCCGGCAGCCGCTCGGCTGGCCCTTGGCGGGCTGTGTAACCTAGTGAGTCAGCCCACCGCTTTGCCTTCAGATGCTGGGCACGCAGTGGCCACAGCCACCATCTCTGACACTTGCCTGAAGACAGAACGCGGGTTGCTGGATTCCTACTTCCTCTTTTACGACTTCAAATTCACTCATCCCACCACCAGCACTGGACGTCCTCACACTTGCCCGTGGGACACCCTGCGAAGCCTTCCCTGACAGGCTGCCCAGCCCTGGGCTCCCCATATCTATTTCCAGGGCACTCGTGGCTTTATTTGGTGCCTGCAGGAAAGACTCAATCCCCACTTTCCTCTACATGCCTTCCTCTTGGGGTGGAGTCTCCCTGAGGGCAGGGCAGAGTCTACCCAGCATGCAGCAGGTGCTCGGTCTGTGTCTGCTAGCAAGTGGAGTGACCACCATGTATGGGCAAAGGGAGGCCAGGGCAGGGCAGGGCAACGAGGAGGGGGCTGGCATGCATCACGCAGGCTCCAGGTAAGGAAAGAGCAACCCGGAAGAATCGAGGCCCAGGACTGGGAACACACCACAGACAACCTCTGAGATAGGGTAGGAGTCCCCTGGAAAGAAGGAACAATGGAAGGTGGGGGGCAGGGAGAGACCAGGCGAGGGGTGGCAGACCAGCACGCCCTCCCTGGGAAGGGCAGGGAGTGAGTGCTGGCTACAGGGGGAGTACCCGAGAGGCGTTTGCCACTCCTGCCCACAAAGGATGCTGCACTCCTTTTGCTCTGCATCCCCACTCAGGGCCCTTCATGGGAAGAGTACGTTCCTCTGCCACAAGGGAAAAGCACTCGCTCTGCTGGCAGCACCAAGGACACACCGCTGTCGGCCTCCAGTCTGCCTTGGCTGAAGAGCAGACACAGAACACTCAAGCTGAGGAGACGCACCTGGGGCTGCTTGAGCCCGCCACCAGTGGCCTGGCATGTCAACACACAGTGCCGCAGCTGAAAGTCCCCTGCCCCCAGCCCATGCACAGACGGGCTCCCCTAACTGTCCCCATCAGGGTTCCCTGAGGGCCGCCTACGACTCTGGAGCATGAGTCCTGCCCACCCCCCACACGCACACCCTGGGCAGCGGCATATCTTACCTCGTCACCAGCCCCTCTGTCCACCGTGCCACTCAGATCCCTCCTGCAGCCAGAAAGGGAGAGTGATGGCTAAGGGGAAACACCTGAGAACTTTTCCAAAGAAGAAGAGAACGCTTTCTCCTTTCTAGAAGCCTTCATCAACCAGCCTCAGCTCACGAGCTCTCTAGTAGCAGGCAGCCAGAGTGCAGACGCTCTCTCAACAGCCCTCTCAGCCTCACTCATTCAATAAATAATTCTGAGGGCCTCCACTACACTAAGCATCACGCACACACACACGCACGCACACAGACCCACACACACAGTCTATTACACCCAAAAAGTCTCCAGTCTCCTCTCCGGCTAATGGCACAGACACCCGCACTGCCAGCCCTCCTTGCCCTCCTGTCTTTATCGGGCTGCACATATCCTGCTGGCAGACGCCTGTCACGCCCCAAGTGTGCCGGCCTCATCCTTACTTCAGCTGCCCCTGAGGTACAGCTCCACGTCAAGCCCTGGGCCCTGCAAAGCTGCAACTGCACGTACCAGAGCTGTCTCTGAAAAGCACAGATGGGCAGGGTGTGGTGGCGCACGCATGAAATCCCAGCACTCTGGGAGGCAAGACGACTGCCTGAGCTCAGGGGTTCAAGACCAGTCAGGGCAACTTGGCGAGACCTTGTCTCTACAACACATCAAAAATTTAGCCGCACATGGTGGCACATGCCTGTAGTTCTAGTTACTTGGAAAGCTGAGGCAGAAGGATCATCTGAGCCCAGCAGCTCGAGGCTGCGGTGGCCGTGAGCATGCCACTGCACGCCAGCCTGGGCAACAGAGTGAGACTCCGACTCAAAAACAAGAGAAAAGGAAAGGCCCCAGTGGATCACGCCAGCCCTGCCCCCAGTCTCTTCAATGGCTTGCACCAGTCTGTGCGGCCTGTGGCCTGTCACACAGGCTGCTGCCTCTGC